TTTTTGTTTTGTAAACTATCTTTTGGAACCACAAGGGAAGGCCAGAAAACTTTGCCTTGCTCAGAAGGCAGCATGTCAGTCTTAGAAGGGAGGGAGGTCGTGTACCTGGGGCGACCCCATAATTAAACATCCCAAACTGCATTACTTTTGAGAGTGAAAGAGAACCTTACTAATGACTGCATCAGAATGACAAACTCCAGGACTCTCCCAGGCAAACTAGGACGTACAGCCACCCTACTTAGCATGCTCACCCAGGATCCAAGACATCGTGCCGTAAGGAGGTGCAAACAGCGATTTTTAAGGAACTTCTATTTTGTTTTTATACTGCTCAATCGATCTGAAGATCTTTGATTAGATCATGAACATCGATGTTTTGATAAGCTTCTCATATCTACCATTTTAACTGATGCAGACTCAATTTTGAGTCATATTCATGATTCCAGATTGACAGCCACAAGTCGCATGGCCTCTATAACAGTTGAGTGTTGTGATGGCAGAAGGACACGGTGGGAAGAGGAGGAAGGAGGAGATGGGTGAAGAGAGAGAGAACGTGACAGTGAAGATGGTGAATTTGCAGAAGCTCAAGCATCTTGGTAAACCATCTGGCGAGATCATATGCTGGGAGTCACTGCGCGTCGAAATGGTGCCAAGGAGCCAACGTTAGGGAATGTGGGGGGGAGGGGCAGTTAAATACCCAGAGTAGAACTGTGGAGAAGCCAGCTTCTGGCTTCCAGCATCAGATCTGGATACTTAACCCGAAGAGGGCAGGGTTAGGTAATTCTGTACGTGTGCACATGAAGCTAAAAGCGCTCGTTTGTGAAAATCCGTTTCACAGAGATAAGGACGAGCCCAGCTCATCTACCGCACAAAGAGGGCTCTCGCTTTATTCCTGCAGCTGTTTTCCTCCTGAGTGACTCAGCTGTGCGGTGGCTTTCACAGCTCCAAGAAACGACAGGGCCTGCTGGCCCTCAGATGCCCACCGATGCCTGCCGGGAGCCACCTCGTTAGCCTGTCCAAATCATTCCCTTGGCTTACACTTAGTGGGAAAGATATTGAGCTACTTCTTTCCTGTCCGCAGCACAGTCACCACACTCGGACTGGCCAGTGTCGTGTGCTTCCGTGCCACGGGATTCAAACCTCCTCCTCACGCTAACACGTGTGACACACCCACCACGTTCCCGGCCCGGGCCTGGCACGGGGAACACAGAGATGACTCAGAGTCTCCATCCACAAGGAGCACCAAGTCTGCATCCCCGTATTCGAGCCCACTTAGTCATGTTAGCGCCACTGGGAAATGGCTTTCGTGAAAGTAGCTTTCGGGTAGCTTTAGCCTTATTTTTCTTGAGGGGTGTGAGGCTGAAGAAAAGGTCTTTCCTGTTCTCAGCAGGTTGCCTTTCCAAGATGGCCCTGTGGTACGCATCTCTCCAAAGCCAGGTTAGTGTCTCATGTTTCGTCTTGCCTTTAAAAGCTGCCGCAAGATTAGATACCCAAATCTTGTTACCGGTGCTAATCCTGTAAGGATTAAATACCCAGAGCCCCATTAAAATCCTCCTCGTATGAAAGAACAGATCTTGGTAGCTTTTAGTAGAACAGTCCAGGGAGAGGCTCCCAGCCACTGTCTGGTAAACTCTCATCAGGTGGAAATCCCAGGAGGACCCAGCGCCTAGCAGAAGGCAGATCCCGGCGCTGGGCGAACCCTGTACCCTTGCCTGGGAGAGATAGCAGCTCTTCACACAACACCCAACAGCTTATCCAGCATTAGGCAGAGCTGGCCCTTTACCCAGATCAGGTATATTTGGAGTTAATTAAATTGAGGCTCCCCAGGTACCTACACGATTAGCTGTAATTGCTCCCCGGTAGCATAGCAAATCTGAGTTTTGTAACTGCCCCACTGACATCTGAACATCTGCTCTAGTCCTCAAATAATTAGTCTCAAACCTGAGTAAAAACAGGTCCAGGAGCACCTGGCTGGCTCATTCGGTGGAGCACATGACCCTTGATCTCGGGGTTGTGAGTTTGAGCCCCACACTGGGTGTAGAGAAATCGCAGAAATAAATCAAACTTAAAAAAAAAAAATTTTTTTTAAATACTATTTTAAAAAAAAGACCGGTCTAAAAGGAATCAGGTGATGAGAAAGCAAAGACTTAATAATGAAAAAGTAAATCCCTGCAGTACTATTACTTGTGTCGGTTTGTGTTATGAGGCAAAGGACTTGGGTTTGGGGTTAGATGTGGATCCAAAGTCCTGCGCTCCCACCCGCTCGCTGTGTGAGGTCAGGCAAGTCATTTCATCCCTTTGGATCTGCTTCCTCCACTGTGTTTATGTTCCCAGGACAGGGCTTGGGACACAGTGCACCCAGGCTTTCGTCCCTTCATTTAGGTGGTACTGACCCAGGGGCCACCCAGCACCGGGCCCCACAGATGCAATGGGAAACAAGACCAAGCATGTCTTTACTGTACGGAGCACATCACCTAGTAGAGGTTCCTTCCATATTAGAACAAAACATAGAGTTGTAAATAGCCAAGGGATGAATGAAATTAGGCAGAACCCCAAGGAAATGGTGGAAAAGTGAAGATTTTAGTAACAATTTAAAATAAGTCCCTTGATACCATTTCTCATGCAAGCAAATGATGTTCCCATCATAAGCTGCACAAACCTCTTCTCCAGCATGAGGGACGTGCTGCGTGTCTGGAGCCTAGCTGAAACTGGCCTAAAGGGACTTAAACATATTTTTTTTATCCTTTATTTGCGCCGGGTTTTTTAACTAGCTGGAATTTTATTGAAAAACTGGTGTATGTACATAATAAAACCATTCCCAGGGGGCGTTTGGTGGACCTGGAGGAGGTGTCTGGATGTCTAGAAACCTGGCTTTGAGGAGATACCAGGCCAACAGCCCTGCTGAGGAAACTTCCAAAAGGTGGAGTAGCGCCTCCCTGTGGGAAGGTCGCTTACTGCAGGCGGACAGGAAAGGGGTTCTGTGAAGGGATGGCCTGCAGGCAGAGTGAGAATAGCTCCAGAAACACCTTTCCCAGATTTGTCGGAGCCAGAGCGGTCCCTGTTCCTACATCAGTGGTTCTCAGCCCTGGCTGCGCTTCAGAGGCACCTGGAGATCTGGTAAAAGACCAGGCCCCACGCCCAGACATTTCGCATTTAATGGGCGGGGGCAGGCGGGGGCGCAGGCATTAGTGTTGGTGTTTTACAAGATCCCCGGGTGATTTTAATGGGCATCAGATCAAAGCAATCGGATCAAAGAACACTGCTTTGGAGAAAAATCTAGAAACCTAGATTAGCCTTTTTGATTGTTAAGCTACAATGACTTGTTTCAAGTAATTTTAAACCATGGTTTACATGGTTTGGGCAGTGTTTACATGGGTGCAAGTGTGTACAAATTCATCGTGCATTTTCCTGAGTGTTATGTTATGCCTCGTCAAATAAAAATAAAAAAGAACAGGGCAGGGGCGCCTGGCCGGCTCAGTCGGTGGAGTGTGCGATACTTGATCTCAGGGTCATGAGTTCGAGCCCCATGTTGAGGGTAGAGATGACTTAAAAAAAAAAAAAGAATAGGGCAGATTTCTGTGTATTGTTACACAGTGGCTTTCAAGACATATTGTTAAAAAAAGAAAAAGTAAACAAGGTACTAAATCTGTGTGCTACCACTGACATTTTTTCTAAGAATATGAGAAATTACCAGTTACCACATCTCTAATGCTATTTGAATTTTGTGCCATATGCATGTTTTACCTAGTCAAAAAATATAGGTTCCTGGGCCTGGCCCCATCTTACTAAATCAGCTCGTCTGGGGGTGAAGCCCAGGGCTGCCCATGTCCAATGTCCTCCCAGGTGATCCTGCCCATGTCCAATGTCCTCCCAGGTGATCCTGTAGTTTGAGAACCACCCCCCCAACCTGGGGTTGTGCTGGCCTGCCTGAGGCGGTGTCCCTCCATGAAAGGAAGCTGTAAGAGGCTGCTCAAAAGGCAGCATCCCCCATGGCCTCCTGGTTAGGGAAGAAGCTGTTCAACTCTCATGAGGGCTGGCCAGACCTCTGAGCAGGTGCCGAGGTCCACAGCCTGTTCCCACGGTAAACCCACAGTCTCCTCATTGCCGGTCTGTCATGTGCACGTGTCTTGCCATCATCTGTTAACTTTCCCTGTTAGGTTTTAAGTTGGCTCCCCGAGGAGGCTGGGGTCGGGTCTCAGAAGGATGTGACAAATCCCTTCACCCATGGATGGCACTAACCTCCTCCTCTTAGCAAAGCTGCGGAGAGAACATGGCTTTGCAGGCTTCCCAGTGGGACCAACTGAGATCATGCCTCCCGGACAAACAAGACCCTCTCTGCACAGAGGTCTCCTCTGTGTGTTTCTCAATGAGCCTGCCTCCCTTGGCACTCTGTCCTTACGTCACCAAGGACATCCTATCCTAATCCTATAGAGCATCCTGGCCGTCCCTCCGGACTGAAGTTTGTCTTTCCTTCCTTCCCCCATGCTGACAAGAAAGTCCCGTAAATAACATCCACTTGGTTCTTTTCTTGACACCATGAGTCATTGTACACATGGGTATAGCATCCTGTTTTGTAGCTGAAGAAGCTGATCCCAAAGGGTTTTGATGTTGCTTCTGTGTGTATCCGTGTGCGAACTCCTGTGCTCACGACACCCTGTATATCTGTTTTGATTTCCATGTGCCTCTAGACAGGTTTTTCCACAACCCACCTTCAGAGAGCATTGCACATCTGTGTGATACATGGTACCTCCCCTCATGGGCACCACTAAGGTTGGGTCTCCTCTATACAGAGGATCATCTGGAAACTTCTCTCCAGGTAGCCAAAGAGAAGTGTCTCTGTCTGTGTATATGCCTCCCTCCCTCCCTCTCTCTCCATACACACACACACACTTCTCTCTCTGCTAGCATCTTGGCACTCACTCAGGAACCCTCCAGCTCTCTCTCCAGGGCAATCATTTTGTTGCACCTAAAATGATTGAGTGGTCTTACCTCTCTGCCCACAGGTTGCACCTGGGAATTTGGAGCCATGGTCAACTACATCAAGAAGACATATCCCCAGACCCAGCTGGTCGTCGTGGGCTTCAGCCTGGGTGGTAACATCGTGTGTAAATACTTGGGGGAGACTCAGGCAAACCAAGAGAAGGTCCTGTGCTGCGTCAGCGTGTGCCAGGGGTACAGCGCTCTGAGGTGAGTGACGTCCGCGCCCCCACCTCTCCCCTCCCTCGGGTGTTTGTTGAGATGCCCCGGGACACCAGCACACATCTGTGAAGACCAGAGGAAATGTGGTGGCGGACTGAGCAGAAGTGTGTGGGTCTTGGAGTCACCCTATCTTGCTTTTACGTCATACACTGGAGCTGTCTTACCAGACTCCTTAAGCCCGATCTGCAGCTATATTTGGGGATCAGATCTGTAACTGAATAAGCCAAAGGCCCCCATAACATCTGCGGTTTCCCTATGGAGTCTCTGTGAGGTGACTTAATCTGTTCATGCTCCAGAAGTTTTGTAGGACCGTGGGTTTATGGAAGAACTCAAGAGCCAGAATCTGAGAGCTGGGCCTTATGATCACAGAGCCTTCCTGCCTACAGGAGCGTTGAGTCTCAGATGGCATGGGGAAGGGGTCTCTCGAAACCACTTAATCTGTGCCCTCACCTTAAGTGTCCACCTCTCATAGACATCCCAGACATCACCACAAAGGAGATGACCTGGCGGATAAAGGTTTACCTCGCCCCTTAGTCTCCTGCCAACAGAGCCCCACAGGATGAGCCCTAGGAGGGCATTATCTGCTCTGCCTCCTCATCAAGAACAGTGTTGTCCCAGATCTCTCGAGAGTCACCGAGCACACACACACACACACACACACACACACACACACACCTTCATTCACACACCTCTCCAGACTCTTCAAATGCATTCACATTTTTCCCCGTACTCCCTCTTCACGATAATGTCTTCTATATTTCAAATGGGTATGACCAGTTATTAAAGATCTCCTGAGAAATCCAGAATTGCATAAGTAAAGAAAGTCTCCCTTATTGATCCAACCTAATGCCAAACAGTCCTTATAGTTAATAAGTGATTCCTGCCTTTTTGCCTCACCTGTTCTCTCTCTCTGTATAGTTTCAACCTGTTTGAGCATTTTCTGAGAGAGAGAGGCTGCCTGTTAGTTCCAGAAATATATATTACTGGAATTTGAAGACAGCACATCCAAAGGGCAAATGCGGGCCCAGAATTCAGGCTCTGCCTGTGAGGCATCAAGTTGGCCCAAAGGGAGGATTTAAATGTACCCAAAAGAAGACTTAAAACACATCCCCGATGGAGCCTTTCCTGAGTTCAAGGGCCGAGGCTTGGGTTCCAGTTTTCCTCACCTGCATGATGGGGATGACAGTAATGCTAAGTAGTACCCACCTCATAGCACCATGGTGAGCGTCCAAGCAGTGAATGCATATGCAGGAGAGGCATGTAGAAAGTAAGTCGGTAACCGGTAATTATCCTCAGTCTCTGTGAGACAAGAAGTGTAGGTTAGGCCAGTGGGTCACAAAGACCAGTCTGGGGAACTGGTGACTGTTTCACTTCATTAAGAATCACCTGGGGGATCATCTTAGAAATAAATTCAGTTTCTTGGGCCCCAGCCCTGGAGATTCGGACTCAAGAATCTGGGGCATGGGCCCAGGAATCTGCATTTGGATACATTTCACAGGTCACTTCTGTTATGTAGCCACATTTAACAGCCAGTGGGCCTGGGGACCTCAGTGGCCCCTCCAGCTCTGCTGTCATCGGACGAGGTTGGTCCCCTCATCCTCCTGCTGGGAATCCTCCCCTTCAGTCCCCTCTGTGCTCTGGAGAGCCAGCTGAAAGCACCTGTCCCTTTATCTTGGCTTGACTAGAAATATCCAATTCCCAATTCGTAGCCATTATGTAACCGGAGTTAACAGAAGTCCCACCGCGCCCAGTAGCTGGGAGAGTAAAGGGCCTACCTCAGGATTCAGGGGAGCAGGGCCTGGCATGAGGACCCTGCCTGCTCTCACCTGACGAATGGCCCAGTTTTCAGCAAGCCTGCTATCACCTGTAAAATTGGAATCGCTCGGGTCCCTTCCTAAACCCAGTGGTGTGAAATCACTGTGAGCACGGACTTTGTGTTCAGAGATCACAGCATTTGATAAGTAGGAGGATTCGGGACCAGTTTGTTTTCTCCCCCCCACCCCGCCAAAGCCCAAAATCTTAAGTGACAGCAGCTGCATTTCATTTTGCTGCACGAGCGCCACCTGCCGTTGGCAAGAGCACGTGAAATGCGTGTTTGGTGAACTCGGAGTGGGAAACTCAGATTCTAGAGTCTGTGAGGCGCTGTCCCCACCACCCCTCTTTGAGACCTCCGAGATCTTCAGACTCCTGATTACCTACTGTCACATCAACCTCATCCACTGAGGAGAGAAAGAAGCAGCTTTGTCCCCTGGAGCACAGAGAAGTAATATCCTGTGGCCCGACATACTGGAAGGGGTGGGCCCTGGGTATGTGGGCGCTGCCCAGGGCTCAGGTGCCCTCAACAGCGTAACCAGACCTACTCACCAAAGGACAGTGCCTTACTTTAAACCAGTGTCACCTTTTTTTCCTGCCAAGGCTTGAGGGCGATGAGCCTTTTCAGCACTGGGACGTGGCAGCCATGCTTCGTTTACGCCGAAGCGGAGCAGGGAGGGTTCGCCTGCCTCTGCAGGGGCCGCACGGGAGTCCATGCCGCTGGTAAATCTCGCCTAGTTGAGTCCCGGGAACCGCTTGTCAGTGACCCGCCCCCTCCCGCTGGCTTCTCACCCCAGAGCCGACCCACGGCCCAGAAGCCAGCGCCCGCTTGCCGTAGTTAGCAAAGCCTCGCTGCCACTAGAGAAACCCATGTTTGTGCTGTGCTGAGCCACTGAAAGGGGGGATACAGGTCCCCCGGACTTAGCCTCCTTCCCTCAGCACAAACCGCTGCCCGCTAGACCTGGAAATGTGTGTGGTCAGACTCAGTCTAGCTCTGGGTGAATTCATCATTTGAAACTTTGTTATGAAGACTCTTGCTTGTAAATTCGTCCAGTGAGTGGTGACCAGACAGGAGTGTGAGAGGGAAAAGAAGTGGTACCAGAAGATGACCTGCAGATAAGTCATCCCGTGACTCATTTGGTTCATTCAGCTAGACACCCTTCTGGGTAATGGGGACACAGCCCCTCATGGGGCTTAAAGAAAAGTGAAGGGAAGCTTTTTTTGGACCAGTTTTAGGTAAAATCAATCCTTCATTCCTAAGGAAGCCCTCAACAATCTTGCACTGCAGAATCTGCCGGCTAGAGGAGATAGTCTGCGTCGGAGGACCTGACAGCGCTTCCCGACTATAGAGTGTTTGCAGAGCAGCAAACCAAGTACATGTCACGAATAGATTACACACTAGGCGGGGCGCCTGTGGGGCTCAGTCTGTTGAGCATTTGACTCTCGATCTCAGCTCAGGTCCTGATCTCAGGGTCATGGGGTCGAGCCCCACATCTAGCTCCACACACAGTGTGGAGTCTACTTGGGATTCTCCCTCTTCCTCTCCCTCTGCCACTCCCCTTCGCTCTCTAATAAATAAATAAATAAAATCTTTAAGTAAAATAAAATATTACACGCTAGGCATATGGTGCTGAGGAAGTCCTCAGTCCAGTGGGGTGGGTTTTGGGAGGGAGGTGAGGGTAGAGAGGTCAGTGGGGTAGGACCCAGGCAGGGTTGGGGTGGGGGGGCCTTCGAGGGCAATAGAGAAGATGCGAGATCTCCCTACATCTAGTCCTTCTCCTGGCTGAGTGGGTGTGTGAGCACCACGGGGTCTTAGCATGGTGTTTTTAAGCAGGCTTTCCTGCTGCAGAGAAGGCCAGGCCCCACGTTTCTGGCCAAATTGTGTGTATATTCTTCATTTTGCTCTGAATGGGCGACTCCAGGCTGTGGATGCATTTATGACAGGAGCAAGGGGCAAGGGCTGCCATTCATAAAGTCCTTCTAGCCGGTTACCCCTTCATCAAACCTGTTCACAGTGGAAGAGCTGTATGACAGTTTTAGCAATCAGTAATTTTGTATCAGAGCCAAGCGAAGGGGGAGAATCCGCTGAGTTTAGACTAAACTCTGTGGGCAGAACTCCAACCTAGGACACAGCTTGGCTTTTCCACCAGTGGGTTGTGAAGCTGACCAAATGGCTTGCCTGTGGCATCTTGGGGATTTTTGCTTATTGTTTTTATTGCTAATTTTTTTCTATCAGAAAAACAAGGGTGTGTGACAGACCCTTTCACTTAGTAATCACATTCCTATAAAAGTACATCCTAAGGGAAAATATCCTTATCAGGCAGAGAGCAGGTTAGTGGGTGGCCATCCCTACCTTTGTCTGAGCTCCAAGCCCCATCCTGCCCCAAAGCTTGGCTGCAATGAAGGATTCTGGGCCCAGTCCCCAGTACAGAGATGGTTTTCTTTTACCTGCACTCTCAAGCTGACCTCTCTGCCCCGGAGCTCCCTAGCCTGGGTCTCTCGGGTCCAGAAGCTCCACTCTCCTTCCTCCCAAAAGCCACACTGTTCAAGGCTGGTCTTGGTTTTGCCCCCACTACGGTATGACTCTCTTGTAGGGCCAAGCTAGAGATAACCAGCACAGGTCCAGCATGAGAGATAATTGTAACTTATGATCCACAAAGTACAGTGGCAAACAAGGAAGATTTTATATTTTAAAAATCAAGAAAATATGTAGCATGACTGAATGTGTATATTAAAAGTAGTGAGGGGGGCGCCTAGGTGGCTCATTCAGATAAGCGTCTGACTCTTGATCTCAGCTCAGGTCTTGATCTCAGGGTTGTGAGTTCAAACCCTGCATTGGGCTCCATGCTGGGCATGAAGCCTACTTAAAAATAATGATAATAAAATAATAAAATGGGGAAAAATGTAGTGAGGAAGGCAACCATGTAAAAGTATGGTCGTAGGGTGGAGGAAATGGGAAGTCCTACTTTAATGGATATAGACCTTCAGATTTGCAAGATGGAAAAGTTCTGGAGATCTGTTACGCAACAATGTGAATATACTTAACACTACTGAACTGCATACTTAAAAATGGTTAAGAAGGTAAATCTTATGTGTTTTTTACCACCATGATTAAAAATTAAAAAGAAAAAAAAGATTGTAGATGGGCAAAGCCTGGAAGAGAAACTCCCCTCCCCAAATAAAAACAGTTTTCTTCCATTGGTGTGGTAGCATTTCAGGAAAATACTTAATGTACCGTGATTTTGCAGTTTTGTTAGCATATTACTAGGGTGTGTTTTAATATTGCCTACATCCACACCCTGTAAATTCATCACCCGCCTTAATTTGCAGCATGCCTGCCTTCTTGTCCCTTTCTGGACTCTTAGAGTCATGGACACCTAGTCTCACAGAAACTCTCTCCCACTGTCACCCCCTGTGTCTTCTCAAAGACTCCAGAAAAGCAGTTTGGCCACTCTCACAGCCTCTCAGCACTCTGAGATCTTACTTGAGTCAGGAGATTTGAATTCTTTCCCCAGCTCATTCTCTTTTGACTTCAGTTCCTTTTAGTCAATGCTTGGTCCACTCACTGTGCAAAATATGAGTTGGGAAGTTGAGCTTTCTCTGAGCAGCCCCCCAGCGGCATGAAGCAGTTGGCTCGGCCCTAGTGGATTGCCCTGGACGTGACTATAGATGCCCGTTTCATGTGAACCCTCTTCTAAATGATTTAAAAATCCATCTCGTGGGGCGCCTGGGTGGCTCAGGCGGTTGAGGGTCCAGCTCTTGGTTTCGGCTCAGGTCATGATCTCAGGGTCATGAGATTGAGCCCCGCCTGGGGCTCCACGCTCAGTGGGGAGTCTGCTTGGGATTCTTGCTCTGTTCCCTTTACACCTCATGCACATCCCCTTTCCCAGAACCTGAATTATTATTTTTTTTTTTTAGATTTTATTTATTTATGTGACAGAGAGAGCGAGCGCACAAGCAGGGGGAGCGGCAGGCAGAGGGAGAGGGAGAAGCAGGCTCCCTGCGGAGCAGGGAGCCTGATGTGGGGCTTGACCCCAGGACCCTGAGATCGTGACCTGAGCCAAAGGCAGACGCTTAACAATCTGAGCCACCCAGGCGCCCCGAAACTGAATTATTTTAAAGCAAATCCCAGGCATCATATCATTTCATCTGAAAATACGTCATTAGTTTGCACTAAAAGACTCTAAGGACTTTTTCTTAAATATAACCACAATACCATTATCATACTGAGAAATGAATGATTCCCTAATATCCCCTTTCTACTCAGGGTTCAGATTTTCTTGATTGTTTCACAGAAGTTTTTTAACGGTTGGCTTATTTGAATCAGGATCCACGTAATGCCTATGCATTGCATTTGTTGATCTGTCTTGGAGGTTTCTTTGAGTCTCTAGATTCCCCTCTGTGATTGCCTTCCATATGTTGTTGTTGTTGGTCTTGAAGAAATCAGACCTTTTAAAAAATATATGGAATGAATGTATTTATAACACATTACTCTTGATTAGGTTTTATAAAGCCAATATAAAATTAAGTTTCAGTTCTGTAATTTTATACCCAAAGGTGGTGAAAGCCCCTACGTATGCTGAGTGGTAAAGCAGAGATGCCAGGAATCCATGTCAGCCAGCACTGAGCGGGATAATGGTTGCAGCAGCCTCATCCCGGGCTTCCTTGAGCCTTGAGCCCCTGGGGGTCCCCAGAGCCTTTCAGGGAGTGGCTCCTGTGGTGGTCGTCAATCTCAAGATCCTCTGCAGTGCTGGAGCTGCTTTCATGTCTTACGTGTATGACCAGCCCCCCACCCCACCCCACCCCACCCCCCTCCCCCTGCTTCCTTCCCTCTGCATCCCCTCCATACGCAGGACATACTAACCAAAACAGTTAGGAAGTCAGCAAAGGCAGAAACAGCCCAGGGCCAAAGAAAGCTGAGACAATGAGACTGTCAGCTCTCTGAGGAAGGGGAGTCTGGGTCCAAGGTCAGAGGACGGGGTGCTGGCAGAGGAAGCAGGTTTTGGTTCATGGATCGGGTGACTTCGGGTGACTTCCCTCCTCCCTCCTTGCTCAGACCGGGGTCCAGATCCCTGCCTTAGTCGGGGTCCTGCTTCTAGTGATCTGGCCCATCCTTTCTGTTTCTGCAGTGTTTGGGGAGCCCCTTGTGCATTTATAGAATGGACTTTAGACCTTTGAAGGCAGTCTTAGTCTTCCCTTTGAGCCTTAGCCCATGGTTTAGGAGCATGTCACAGACCATGAAAGCCACAAACCCTTTCACTTTTAACCTCCCATTAGCTCTTATTTTTTAACCACAATATTACAGGAAATGTTTGCCATTCCAAAACTGAAATGTGGCAGCCTTGGGGAAATGACTTTATAAACTCCCTGGATTTTTTGAAAATACCTGTGAACCACCCAGTCCCCTCTTTGGCCATCTGGGATGTGAAACCGATGGATGATGTGTGGGAATGGTGAAACCCAGATTCATTCCCAGGGCTGGAGCAGGCCTTGAGACTCAGCGCAGAGTGGGGGTTAGCATGGACTCCGTGGCACCTGTGGGTTCACATGCAGGGAAGAGAACACTGAGCGGGAAGGGCTGATCCAGGGTTGGCGGGGAGGTAGCACATTGCCATTTGCTCACCTGCCATGTGGCCAAGGAAATCTGCCGTGCCGGCGCATAGAGAAGGTTGCACCTTACTGCCCTAGTGTGACCCACAGCCAGTCTCTTGACCTCTCTGAGTCCATGGTAGTCTCCTAATCTGGAGTGGGGAGAATATTACCTGCCTAGTGCCGCTGCTGGGGTGTCAGGCGATGACCCTCATGTCAGGTAGGCCGAGTCATGCCAACTGCACACACTAGCTCTACTTCTTCCGTTTCCTTGCCCCTTGAATATTCTAAGGCTAATCAAAAGAGAGCTCAAATGGGGCGCCTGGGTGGCTCAGTCAGTTTAGCAACTGCCTTTGGCTCAGGTCATGATCCCGGGGTTCTGGGATCGAGTCCCGCCCGCATCAGGCTCCCCTGCTCAGCAGGGGAGTCTGCCTCTCCCCCCTCCCCCTGCTCATGCTCTCTTTAGCTTACTCTCTGTCTTTCAAATAAGTAAAAATCTTAAAAAAAAAAAAACAAAACCACATTTCCCTTTGCTTCTCAAACAGCAACAAAAGAAGTTCTTTTAGGTTTTTCCCTGCACGGTACCTCTCCACACCCACCCTCCCCTTACACACTCCGTTATTAAGCCAGAAAAACCTTCCTGCAGAGTAGGAAGCCGAATAGAGGTGTTCAAACACCAGTACTGGCAGGTTCTGTGACAAAGAGAAGGCCGCCGTGCTGGATGAGGGTATCGGGACTGTCACCCCGCAAAGCCTGTGCCCCTAGAGAACTTTCTCGCTGGGGCCTCATGTTCAGCAAGACTGTTTTGGTGTCTCCATCAGTCTCTCTACGGAGAGTTTGAGTCCACGCGCAGAGACCTGTGTTTCGGGGTCGGGAGCCAGCGCCGCCGCCTCCGGGGTAGAAGTGCTTCGAGCACCTTCCCCAGGGTGGGGACGCCAGTGTGTCCCTCCAGGCGTGGTCTCTCACTCTGGTCTGCCGTTCTTTCAGGGCCCAGGAGACCTTCATGCAGTGGGATCAGTGCCGACGCTTCTACAACTTCCTCATGGCTGACAACATGAAGAAGATCATCCTCTCACACAGGTACCAAGCCTCCCACGTTCTCCCAGGAGACGGTTCCTTTCTGAGCTTATTTTCGAGTCACTAAAAGCCAGAACTCTGGTTTTTCCAGAAAAATATAATGAAGGCAGGGGTGCTTCCGCTTCTCTGCCGGCTGCTTTGTGACTTGCTTAGAAACAAACTTGTCCCGAGCTGCCAAATCCACCAGATCGCGGCCTGCCTTCATGATTCCCGATATATCCAAGACGAGAAACCCTTCTACACCATTCTTTCCCTAGTTGGAGCAATCCTGACGGTGGCTTGTCATGGTTTAGGAACCTTTCTCCTTGGGCTACTCTTGTGCTGAAGGATCAAGCATCGTCATCCTCTGTGGGCTCGTGGGGCTCTGACCAGCAGCTGCAGGACAGGAGTCTAGCTGCTGGGCACCACATAGTGTCCACACTGCCCTGTTCCCACCTCTGCATGTTCCCCATGCTCGTCTTGCCTCGGTCCTGCTCAGAATCCTTCGGTGGGGTAGCTTCTGACCACCACTTAGAGAGGTCAATAAATATTAGCGATGGTTTTATTGTTATGATTGTTACTATGGATACCGTCCCTCCCGCTTCCCCCACACCTGCCTTCCCTCTAGCTGGACTGGGCCACATGGAGGCTCACGTGCCCTCTGGCCCCTCCCACACCACTGGGGCCTTGCCCAGAATGCCCCTCCCATCATGTCTGCCCACACTCTAGGTCCATCTCAGGTCTCCTCCATGAAGCCAACTCCTCCACCCCCAAGTTGTGTTTCTGTCGCTTCCCCGGTGTGAATCCTGTGTCTTGAACTAAACTGTAAAGCACTGGAGGGCCTGGGCTGGTTTTGATTTCCCCCAGAGCCTGGCACATCATGGGCGCTCAAACAATACAATTTTAGTTAGGGGGTTGATGTCATCCTGGGAAAGGCAATCTGACTGAATGATCAGCTGCTTATTCTTTTTATTTCAGTGGTTAAAAGAAAATAGGGTACTGCCCATCCCAGCCAAGCACCCCAGACTGGGCTTCCTGTGGGCGATGTTCACGGGGAGTCTGGGCAAGGCTGGTGCTCGCAGGCTCCTCAGGCTGCCAAGCTGCTGGGTCCTTGTGACGGGTGGGTGGAGGACAGGAAGAGACTTCTGTTCCCTGGGCTGACTGGATGTAAACTGTCTTCTCTCAGCTCGTGGTGTTTGGGCCCTGAGTCAGGCGTGGCTCAGCTGAGGTTCAGATGGGACTGGGGGTTTGCTGAGGTTCCAGAAGGGACCAAGCCAAGCCTCTGACACCAAGTGCCTCTGTCAGCGTCTCCACACCTCTGGAATGGGAAGCAGTTTCCTCCCAGAGAACGTTTGTTTTGCCACAGGGCCCAGTCTTGCCACTAATTAATTAGTCCAGAGGGTCCAACATGTAATTCTTAACAAACTGAGAGAGTCTTCTGAACGTATTCTAGGTGTATTTACATTTTTAAAATTTACTACAGACAGCCAAATATTTAGAAATCTTTTTTAAAGATTTTTATTTTTTAACAGAGAGAGAGAGACAGCGAGAGAGGGAACACAAGCAGGGGGAGTGGGAGAGGGAGAAGCAGGCTTCCTGTGGGGCAGGGAGCCTAATGCGGGGCTCGATCCCAGGACCCTGGGATCATGACCTGAGCCGAAGGCAGACACTTAATGACTGAGCCACCCAGGCGCCCCAAATATTTAGAAATTTTAGGGCCACTTTATTTTTTTTTTTTAAAGATTTTATTTATTTATTTGAGAGAGAGAGAATGAGAGATAGAGAGCACAAGAGGGAAGAGGGTCAGAGGGAGAAGCAGACTCCCTGCTGAGCAGGGAGCCCGATGTGGGACTCGATCCCGGGACTCCAGGATCATGACCTGAGCCGAAGGCAGTCGCTTAACCAACTGAGCCACCCAGGCGCCCTTAGGGCCACTTTAAACTGTGAATTCTAAACTCTGGGTATATAATCTTCCCAATAATCTTTGGGGGGGGAAATGCTAAGGACATGTGTTCCTCTTTGAGAGAGGTTGTGAGTAGATACCAGAACGTTTAGTTTCCATGACGACCTTTCTCACCGTAGGGCCAGGCCGCAAACTCAGTCCTCCATCAACTGTGTGCCTGAGACCTTGCAGGGAATGAAAAGTCTAAATGTGCACATTTTGATCCCTACCCTTATTATCATCCTCTCAAGATGGATCTTTTTCTTAAGAGAAATGATGACTCTTCTGAGTATACGTAAGCTTTTGAGCTGACATGTTGGAGAGCCATTGACTTGCCCCAACGCTAGATGGGTTTACTGCTGTCTTCCTTGTTAAGTGACAAAAACAGCTCCTCAAGAGAAAGGGGCAGTGTCAGCTCCATTGTAAAGACAGGCCCCTACAACCATAGATGAAGGCCCCCACACAGTTTGGCTGACCACCTCCCACTCACCACAGAGCCCATCCTAAAACCTCCCCTGCAGCGAAGGATTTGTAATACAGTTGACCCTTGAACAATGAGGGTTTGAACTGTGTGGGTCCACCTATACGTGGATTTTTCTCAGGCCAGTGCCATAAATGTATTATCTCTTCCTTATGATTTTTTCAATAACGTTTTCTTTTCTCTAGCTTTCTTTATTGTGGGAATACAGAATATCATACATGTAACATACAAAATATGTGTTAATCGACTATGTTATGGGCAAGGCTTTAGGTCAACAGTAGGATATTAGTAGTTAGGTTTGGGGGGAGTCAGAAGCTCTATATGGATTTTTGACTGTGCCACAGGTTGGTGCCCCTACCCCTATATTGTTCAAGGGTCAGCTGTATTCACCTAGGCTCAAACCCGATCTCTGCCTAGCTACCCCTGAAAAGGAAAAGAAGATCTTGACAATCGTCTTTCTGCAGTTATTCAAAACTCAACATTACCAGCTTATCCTCTGGGACATGCTGAAGGCTGAAGGGATCTATTTCTAACTTGCCCCCATATGCCTTCCCAAAGACTCTCCTGGCTTGCCTCTGGGCCAGGAAGTAGGCTTTGCTGTCGGTGTTTATCATCCATTCTTTAAAATATTTTTCAGCTTTATTGAGGTATAATTGACAAAATTGTCAGATGTTTCAAGTGTACCACATGATGATTTGGTTTATCGTCTGCTTTTTATTGTCTACTGTTATGTCTCATTCTAGGCAAGCTCTTTTTGGAGACCATGTTAAGAAACCCCAGAGCCTGGAGGACACAGACTTGAGCCGCCTCTACACAGCCACATCCCTGATGCAGATCGATGACAACGTGATGAGGTGTGCATGTGCTCGGGGACGGGACTGCCGGGCAGGAGGCTGCAGGACAGCACTGCCCAGCACGAGGGCTTTCTTCGCCCACTTTAGTGTTAAGGGGTTTTTTGTTTTGTTTTTTGTTTCTAAAGATTTATTTATTGAAAGAGAGAGAGAGAGCACACAGGGGGGAGGAGCAGAGGGAGAGGGAAAGAGAAACTCACGCAGACTCCTTGCTGAGCGTGGAGCCCAGCGTGGGGCTTGATCCCATGAACCACGAGATCATGACCTGAGCCAAAACCAAGAGTCAGTCGCTTAACCGACTGTGCCATCCAGGGGCCCCAGGGCTTTTTTTATCCTTTGAATAAATGTCTGATGTTTAAAAACTGAAGATCGCACAGAAAAATCCAGATTTCTATTTGCTCTTAGAAAACAAGGGGAGGATCTCACCGCTCATTCTGCACTCTTGTGTGGCATAACTGAGCTGGAACTGGGGAGCTGGGGTGCGCACACCCTACTGTTCGTAGTCCTTAACCCTACCTGCTGTGCTCTGACCCTGGGGCAGGGATCAGTTGCCACATAATTTGCATTGGCAGGAAAAGGAAATATTTCTTGTACCTGCCCATGTCTCTATCAAAAGTAAAACAAAACAAAACAAAAAATAGACCAGGAGGGCTGTCTGTTGCAAGAAAACAGAGTCTCTTTCTTTGGGGACAAGAAGTCTCTCCTCTGAGTGTCCTATGCAAACCCCGCCCACTTTGTTCCTTTACCCTTCACCTGTCCGCCCCCTTCGGGCACTGAGGCTGAGACCCTGACAGTGTCCTCTTCCCTGGTACATGTAATTTCTGATTGAGCTTATTGAGCTTAGCCTTAGCTGGAAAAAGCAACTGTTGATCTCTGACCTCACTGTTCTCTTTAAAAACCTCATCCTTGGGGCGCCTGGGTGACTCAGTCGGTTGAGCGTCTGCCTTCAGTTAAGCATCTGCCTTTGGCTCAAGTCATGATCCCGGGGTCCTGGGATCAAGCCCCACATCGGGCTCCCTGCTCAGCGGGGAGCCTGCTTCTCCCTCTCCCTCTGCCTGCTGCTCCCCCTGCTTGTGTGCTCTCCTCTCTCTGTCAAATAAATAAATAAATCTTTAAAAAAAAAAAAACCTCATTCTTTTGACTTAGTGACCATTTGATACCTTCAGGCGTGGTCTAAAGCAAGCTAGGGTTCATCCAATAGATAGGCGGATATTGATCTGAGGGTACTTATCTTCCTTACGGCATTTTAGTAGCTTTCTTACACCAGGCAACCTTGAAATTTGCCCACAGTTAGGCAAAGAAAACAAACGAGAAAATCGCTGGTACGTTGAGAAGGTGAGAATGGATTCTGCCCAACCTCACTGGATCGTGTGACTTTATTGTGGTATCTAATGAGACAGAAACCAAACATTTAAACTCCCCATTCATCTCCTGAATTGGTGTAAGCCCCAAAGAGAATGTTCTTCAACTCTTCCTAAAGAATTGTGCTGGCTTGTCGCAGTTTCCGTGAACATGACTGGCTGGGCAGCCTCCTCATCAGCCCGTCACCAGGAACACTGGAGGACTGGCGTGCTTCCCAGCCCGCTGAGACCGCAGAGGGACTGCTTTCATGAGGACAGGTGCCCCAGAGATGATAGCTGCCCTTGGCCACTCCGCATCGAGTGGGCCCTCACAGTGCAGCCTGCACTCCCTGGGTCCTTCTGGGAAGGACATCCACAGCTTCCAGGGAGGCATGGTCTTGGGAAGACCCCAGTCAGAATAGAACAAAACCACCAGTCAGAAACCAGAGGCCCTAAGGTGTGTCAGAAAGAGGTTTCCAGAGATCCTTCGGCCTGGGGCTGAGTCGGCCTGCTGGTGTCAGAGCTCCAGGCTGAACAGAGCATAGGGCAGAGCCGAGCTGCTGGACTTCAGGGCGGGAACAGGGAAGGTTCTGTTAAGTCTCTCTGACTGCTGCTCCATGGGTTTGCAGAATTGGCAACTTTGAATCTGTCTCGCATCCATTACCTGAAACATGTTTCTTTCCAGTTCCCAGGGGTTGGGGTTCCTCTGCCAGGAAGAATTCTGTTGAGAAAGTTCTCCTAAACGCCTTTGAATGTCAGTTTCCTAGTGTCCACAGTGACCTCTGGTTTTATCCTGACTCGAAGGGTGTTAACATCTGCTCATAAATACTGTAGATGGCACTTCCTGAGTAATGACTCTGGGCCAGGCACGGTGCTGGCATGCACTTTAATGCCATTCAGGAAGGTACCGCCTTTAGCTCCATTTTACAGAGGGAGAAGCTCAGAGAGGTTAAAGAGTTTGCCTCAGGTCACAGAGCCTGGAGGTGGCAGAGTCAGCTCAGCATCCGGTCTTGTGACAAGTATTGCTTTGTCCTTCTCCTTTGCATGTGTGTGTTTCGCAGGAAGTTCCACGGCTATACCTCCCTGAAGGAATATTACGAGGAGGAAAGCTGCATGCGGTACCTGCACAGGGTGAGCATGAACTCGGAGCGAGCAGCCTCTCCCAGTCAGTGGCCCGTCGTCCTCCAGCGAGCACACGTGCAGCGAGCACGCTCCCCAGCGCCCTTGGTGGAAGAATCGGGCTCGGACCCCTGCAGCTGTTGGCTTGGGTTTTGTTTCTGAACCAAACCCTGTCCCTCTGTGGCCTCCGTATATAAATCCCAGAGCTGCCTCTCGGTGCAGAGCGGGACCAGTCCGCTCCTATGGCTGTGAAAAAGTCCTGGAAATTGCCGCAACACCCATTTGTCCCTCGGTCTCCCTTTAGCATGAAATCTTGCCCCCTTCCTGCCATGGCTCCTCATAGACCTGTGTAGATTTCCTGCAATCTTGGACCCTTGTTTTGGCCCCTGTGCATTTTGTTAGTGTGGTGGCTAGGACTAAACTCAAGGTTCCTGCCATGATCTGGTGAGCGCAGAGGAAAACAGATGTATTTCTGTATCCAAATGAGGAGAAACAGGTCTGTTGACAAGGTAGACTGGCTTATATGAATGCAGTGTTCAGCAGCTGCAACCAATTCGGAGTGGATTCGGTGAAGGCTGTGGCCAACCATAAACTCCCTGTGTTTTTCACCTGTACCACCACCAAACCGGTCTCTCATCATTCTTTGTACAGGTGCTCCTTTTACTCAAACACAGGACTTCCCATTTATCCCCGTCAGTGTCCACCTGCTGGTTTGGCCCACTGCTCGCCCAGTGGAAGCAGGTGATTTGTGAATTGCAGTTCTGCCATCTGCCATATTGGCCACCCCCTACCCCCACCCTCAGTTAGCATCCTCCCCCAGGCTTTGGTCATCTTCCTTTAAGCCACTACAGCCGTTGAGCGGCCTAGAGCCGGTGTTAGAGGCCTCCGGCTCGGCACAACCAGCCTCTGTACTCCCCGGGCCTCGCTGTTCAGGAGCGTCTGAGTGCCCCCACCAGCCTGTCTGCACTAAAAGGAAAAAGCCTGTCTTACTAAAATGGATGTTGACTGCTTCCCAATATCCACCAGCCTCCTCCTGTTTCTCACCTTCAGATTCCTCTAGAAAGTCTCCCTTGTCTGGAGAGGAGCATACTCCCATTTTTCCTCCCCCACAGTATAAACGGAATGAATAGGTACATAACTTCATAAGGTCATTTTCCTGAAAGGTAGGCTAACCTGAGATACTGTGAGGATCATCAGAAATATTTTGCCAGGGAGCCCCACTGAGCCCTGCCCTCACTCCCTCAGAGCACGTGGGTCACCTAGAACACCAGGAGCTTTGCTCCTGCACCCCCCTGCCAGGCAGCCACAAGAGCACATGCTTAGGATTCATGCTGCTGCCCGGGAAGACGGGGCACCCTCAATTTACCCGTGCGGCAAACTGAGTAGCGACCCTCTTCCCTTTGCTTCAAAAACGTGGCCGATAGTGAATTTGAGCCTTGAATCAGTGGCGTCTAAAACGGGATCGATCGTTTATTTCTGCCTTATTTTCTTGTTGCAGATCTATGTGCCTCTCATGCTGGTTAATGCAGCTGATGACCCCTTGGTGCACGAAAGCCTCCTAACCATTCCAAAATCTCTTTCAGGTAAGTGTTCCTTCCTGCTGCTCCCTCGGCCACTCAGCACATTGCCCTGGTAAATTCTGTGACCTTCACCCTGCTGTCACCTCCTGAAGGCCAGCTTCTATGGGGAAGGACATCCCGTGGCAGAGTTCTCATTCAGCCTGGCCTGATAGTCCTGCGGCTGTGATGGGGCCTGGGCAGAGCCCTCTCCTGTCCTATCCTGGTGCCAGAGATGACCATCATTTATATCCACAGCCAAGAGGGATTTGGGGGAGTCCCCTGGTGTTCTCTGAAATTATCGTGTCAGGCTTAGGGTTCCATTAAGTCTGAGAGTTGGACTTAGATATTTCGGCTTAAAACCTGACATGAAAAGCAAAACAGAAAAGCCAGTTCTGCTACCTCTTCGGACAGACAGCCTCTCCATCTGCTTTGAGGATTAAAAATATAAGCAACTGAGAAAGAACGTTGCTCATGGGAATGTCGCTGTGCTTCAGGCGGGCCGGGTCTCGCTGCACGCTGGAGAGGAGCTGAGGGAGGAGCGAGAGGGGGGCAGCTGAGGGAAACACCTGGGAATTCCTGCAAGGACACCTTGCGCTGCGATTCAGATCCCCGCCCTCTGTAGCCCTCTGTGGTTACGTCTCCCTTGTTAATATCCTGTGTATTCACCAGAGCAGGGGCACTCCTGGTTCTCCCCAACCCCAAGCTAGAGGAGTACATAATACGGCGGGCAGAGCTTGGGGCCCTGCTCCGAGGGGGTGTTGCATGTGATGCAGGTGTGTTGGGTGCTAAAAGCCAGCTCTCGTCAACCTGCTAGCAAACCGTAGGCTCCCTGCGCAAAAGGGACCCGCTCAGCCGCGTGTGGCCATGAGAAAAAGCAGCCGCGCGGTTTCCTTCTGATGTCCAAAGCAACACCCGTAGCTCTCATGCTGTCACGCAGAATTTATGAAATAATAACTGAAAGAATAAGGGGGAGCAGACAAGAAAAGGGCCCTGCAGAGCCAGAACCGTGCGTGCCAGGAGGTGCCTCCAAGGCCCGGAGCAGCCTGACCCCTGTCAGTCCATCCCCTGGGAAGACAGATGTGTCCTGCGCTCCCCGGTGACACGCAGCTGCCCACTTGGCCACATCTCCAGTAATGGTCTTTCCTAGCGCTTGGGGGACTAACCCACATGTGGACTCCTGAAGTCAGGCCCCAGGGTAGCCGCACTTGGCATGGCCAGTTTGTATGTGGCGAGCATCTTCAATACAACCTGCAGCTTTAAGTTCTGGTTTAGTCTTAAAAGATAAGTGTAAGGAAAAAACATGGACTCCACTGAGTTGACCTGGTTCTCTAGTAAATAATAGCATAAATGCCAGGAATCCCTACTCAAAGCCTGGCCCCCACCCGTAGCACCTAACATGGGCATCATCTGGGAGCTTGTTAGAAATGCAAAATCTCAGCTCCTCCTCCGGGCCTATTAAAGCAGAATCTGCATTTTAAGGTGCTATCCCAGCGATCTGGAGGCACGGTGAAATTTGGGAAACATCTGGCTAATCACTGAAATCACCTGGTCAGCTTTAGCAATACCAGTGCCTGGACTCACTCGCGTGCTCTCTCTATAATCTACGTCCAAGTTTGAGAACCACTTAGATTTCGAAGTGTTTCTTAAGCTGGTGCCCATTCTGTGCCAGAGCCAAGCTGCTGCTCCCATACTTGCTAGATCCCACCGCCCCGCCCAGCCCACCTAATCTCCCTCCCGCTCTGGTGAATGAGGCCGAGTGGGTAGGAGTCAGATGCCCTCTTGCTGACCTGCACCTGTGGGGAAACCTGGGCCACCCCGGCCCTGGAGCTAACCGGTCACTGACTCACTCCGCTGCCTTCCCCCCTGCAGAGAAACGGGAGAACGTCATGTTTGTGCTGCCTCTGCACGGGGGCCACCTGGGCTTCTTTGAGGGTTCCGTGCTGTTCCCCGAGCCGCTGACATGGATGGATAAGCTGGTGGTGGAGTATGCCAACGCCATTTGCCAGTGGGAACGTAACAAGTCCCAGTGCTCTGACACTGAGCAGGTGGAGGCCGAGCTGGAGTGAGGCCTCCCAGACTCTGGCGCGGCCCAGCCACCTCCCCTGGAACCCGCGTCCCCCACCGGCTGTTTCAGGTCCCCCATCTCCCTCGGTGACCTGGATCTGACCTCATGCCATCAGCGGGGACGACCCACCAGGCACACCTGTGCCGGAGTAGGCCTCCGTCCCTGGGAGCTCCAGGCTATTTTTTGTGCTTAGTTACTGGTTTTCTCCATTGCATTGTTATCCATGGTGACAAGCGACAGGGTTCTCACCCTCCTGTCCACTTTCAGCATTTGATTGCTTTTAAGCCAATTACATCTAGTTTCCCTATTAAAAATGTGTCTGAACAGCAGTTTTGCTTTGCCAATCAAAAAGGCTTGTCTCCAAGAGCAGTGAAGGATGTATGCTATTCTGTTGTGGTCGTGTGTGTCCTTACGGAGACCCTGGTGAGCCCTCGCCCATCTAGGCCGATGCTGAAGAGGCAGGTCAGCTTGGGAGTGAAGCACCTAGGCCTCCCACGCTGCCATGTGGCTCCTCACGTGGCCAAGAAAGTTCCCTGGAGTCACGAGCCAGGTTCCTCCCTTACAGTCTCCTAAGACAGTCTCCCCACAGCTTTGCCAACGATGAGAGTTACCTGGGGCACTTGTTAAAAATTCAGCCTCCCAGGTCCCTCCCCTGGGAGAGGCCAATACAGTGGGTCTGGGAAGGGGTCTGGAGATTTTAATTTTTGACAAGTGCCCCTGGTGATCCTCATCACAGGGCAAATTTGGGAAACACTGTTCTACTGCAGGGCCTTTCAATGAGAAACATCTCGGTAGCTCATTTTATGGAAATGTATGGGTAGACGTGTCCTTTAGCTCCCAGGGGTCTCCAAAGCAGGAGCCCCTGTCATGTCCAGCTGCCCTGGCGTGGCCACAGTGTGATGTCTCGGGAGAGGGCCTGGTGGGGAGGGAAGGGTTTCGGTGACACCGGACTCTGCCTTTCCCTGGCTGTATGACCCTGGACAAGTCCCTCTGAACTTTCGTTTCTTCACCGATAAAATGGGGGACTTGGACCAGGCGGATGGCCGAGACCGCTGCCAGTTCGAATGATCCATGACAAACTCAGCTTGCTGAGGTTTGAGAGAACATCCCTCCAGGGAAGCCTGGGAGTTACTCTCCTCGTCTACACCTGTGGATGTCATCATTTGCCTTTTTTTCCTGTCCCTCATTTTCATAGAAAGAGGTGTTTTGGGTTTTTGGGTTTTTTTTTAGACATTTAATGGTAATTTTACTTTTTTAACCCAAGTCTTTCTAGCTCTGGCTTTTGATAACCAAACAATTCGAAAGCTGGATCTGAGTTTGGAGAAAGATCTTTCCAACCAAAAAGGGTGTTATTTTGAAACCAGATTTTTAATTTAATGGCCTATATTTATAGTCTGTTGGATAGCTTTTTCCAAAATGTGTCTTTTCAAATGAAAATGTTATTCGAGGTTTCAAGTACTCCTTTTCTCCAGTCCTGTGGTACTTGAATATCTAAAAACCCTGCACTTTGAAAAATCAGCAGTTGCTATCTGGAACTAAATGGAACTATGAGTGAAATTGCCTGGATACACTTTTTTTTTTTTAATGTTCTTGCTTCATCTCCTTTGCTCCAGGACAGATAGGATTATAAATAGTGGGTCTGTGTGGATGTTTCAGGGGTAAAGGGAGCCACCTGAGGGCCTGGAGGTGTCCCTCACGGCCACAGGTAGATGTGGTTTGGGTGTCGGTCCAAGTGACTATGACGGTCTGCAACCTGAAGTTGTTTTCTGACAATCACCAGATCATCCTAATCAATACCATCGAGAACAGCCAGTGTCTCAAAAGATTGAGACTTCCGTGGTCCCCACAATTGCTTTGTTGTAATCGCTTACACACACCAAATTCGTCATTGTGACTCCCCCACCCCCACCCCGCCGCGCAACTGTTATTTTTCTGGTACATTTCCTTTCCATGTTCTTTTAGCACAGATTGGCACTTTATCATCTACCCCCTCCATTTGGAAGCTGGTCCCCTCCCCTCCGTTGCTTTCCCCCCCTCCAGCTCTGATCTAGAAGATTCATAGTCCTGTTTCCTACAGACGCTTTGTGAAAGTAGGTAAACAAAGCAGTAACTGAATGGGGCGGAAGCACCATCCCAGGAAGCGAGAGGTGCCTTTGCCTTTGTCTTAGGTCACATCTCTTGATCTGTTTTGACAGAGTAGTGGCCAGGTACCAGCTCCATTCAGGAAGAGAAAAGACAGTCCTGTTGTCGCACCCCGGGGGGCTTGGGGGCTTGGCCGGGGACCAGAAGTCCCTGGGGCCCGGTGAAGGAGAGGCAGGGCCTGGGGCCTGGCCTTTGTCACCACACGACCGGAATTTACCCCACAGGACTGTGGGGGCCGCTTCCCAGCTGAAATCTTTCTAGTGTGTGACTCTGAATGGCACTCACATTCCATTTTGGCTCACATGAAATTAACTGAAGTCCTTTGTTCGGGCTTCAGGCTCTCAGGCATGGAAATGAGAATGTGACCGTGGCGGTCTTACAGGAAAATTCTTGTTTGTCCATGAATGAGAGCACAGAGGCATTGAATTTACAGAGATGCAAACCTGCCTAATAAACAAGGGAGCGGCATTTTATATGTAGGTCAGCTTTTTCCTTCCTCCAGCTTTCTTTGCTTTTCTTCCTGAAGTCATTCATTCCTGATGATAATGGGAGCGCTCTTCTTGCTATGAAGGTCCTCTTTGGCCTAACACAGGGCCGAATTTTCAAAAAGCGTTCGAATATTTTAAAAATCAGAATAAAGATAGAAGTTGCATGGACCTAGACAATCCTGTCGCAGGGGTAACACATTAAAAACCAAGGAGGAAAAGCACCCACATTTCTTCTGGCCGTACTCCCTGCCTCTCAAACAATTTGAAGACCACTAATGAGTAACGGATCCTGGCCAAATTAAGATTATCTAGAAAATGATGTCACGTCCCCTTGATACATTTTGTTAGGAGGAAGTTTAATAGACTTCAGGAAAAGCCCTTCTCTTCCCTGCTGTGATTCCAGAGCAGAATGAAAGCAGGGAGCTGTTTGTTGTCACTAGATTCTTTTAACCTCTCTGCAGCATTATGCACTTGCAGGGAACCCTGTGACACACCCTAAGAGGGGAAATATGCCTTGAAAGAGGACCCTTCCTTTCTTGACCCGGTGTTAGGGAGCCAGGGTCCAAGAGACCTGGGTTCTCATCCCAACTGTCTCTAATTCACGTTGGATTGAGGGCAATCACTTCACCTCGCTGAGCCCCAGTGCCCTCACCTTAGACCACTTGAAGACCAGTCATCTATTTACACATCATTTGCCTGAGCATTCCCACCTGCCTTCCATGGCCCTTGCAAGTGGTAGTGGCTCTGTCAAGGCTCCAGCCTCATCTTGGGGGGAGAGGGGGGACTTGGAGACAGGGAGGGGAGCTTCTGCATTAAGCCTTTGCCGGTGAAGACCCTTGATATGACCCAAAGCCCTGTGTCTTTGAGGGCTTCTCTTTAAGAATCTCTGTTGCCATCTCAATATCCTTGCTGTCCCAAGGGTGGTCTTGTGCCTGGGACAGGTGCTGACCATCGGAATAAGGCGAATGTCCCCAACCTTCCGTGGGACTCAGGCAGAGCTTTGAGATTCACAGTCCTGTCTCCCAGGGCAGAAATCCTTCCCGCTCAGGCTTTCATTCTGAAACCACAACCTTCCTTAAAGCCGAGCCTTCTGGATAGCTGAGCTCCGATCCCTACATCTGAATGAGGGCTCTCTTTGTAACTGTGTGACTTGAGATCGCCTTTGCCAGCTCCAGAGAAACAATGTGTGGGTTCTTGTTTGTGTTTGCCAGGCAAGCAGATGTCTGAGATGTGGGGGGCTTTTCTTTTCCTGTGCCATCGATTCTTAGAGCCCAAGATCCCTGGAACGTCGTATGGAGTCCAAAGAACTCAGGGCTTTGTCCACCAGGCATTTCTCACCACAGCACGCCGCCCCCCCCGCCGCATCATCTGGCATAGGATGCCCAGCATCATCTGCGCATTGTTCTCTGTGCCCAGAAAGCCTCACCTTGCCTCTAGAGGATCCCCTGGTGTTCCAACGATACTGCGGCACTGGAATTCAAATTCTCTTGCTGTGGCAGTTTGAAACAAAGCCACAGCAAAGCCAGAGAATCTCTTCATGTGGCCTGTGTGCTCCTCGTTATGCCAGGCACCCCCCAACCCCCGACAGTACTCATGATTCAGAACTGGCCAAATGTCTTGTCCCCCCACCCCACCCCCCAACGCCTCTCTCCCTTCTGGGCCTTGCTCTGTTGTTCAAAGCCACTTTGGATTACTTGGAGGCTTCAAAAAGCCATGAAATGTGGCCTGTCTGTGGCATTTAGAGGCCGAGCCGTGGAGGAAAAGGTTTTTCCCTCCCTCTGTTATCTAAGCAGAAGGAAGGACCCCCTTCTTCATAAGCTAGGATTGCTTTTGCCAAATTGTACTCGAAGCTAAGGGCAGGGGAGCGAGCCCCTGCTAGCAGTGAGAACTGGGAGGCTATCCAAAACAACCATGCTCCCCCTTGCCTGCCTCACTGCTGCTGCCCCCCGGATGCCACAACCCAGCATCCTCCCCAAGCGGCCCTGGGAAGCAGGCTGCAGAGTCCGGCTCGCCAGCCATTCTCAGACTGCCAGACAGTAGACAGATGCCCCTTCTCGAAAAGTCAGCCTCCCCCCACCCCCCTGAACTGATTTTCCTGGCATGTATTGTGGGCAAAGCGTTCGTGTATCTCTAATGAACAGGCTGGAGTCCGTTTCGAACCAGGGGGTAAGTCTTCTACCTTGACTCCGGTCAGTTAGTAATGAAATCTAGAACCTACCTTCTCCCCATTCTGGTCCCCACTAGCCAAGAAATCTATTGCCATAAACTGGGCACAGTCCACTTCTAGCACCTACAGAGAGACCCTTCATCTCAAAGGCCTGCTCCTTCCCAACCACCCACATTGAGGAGTCCCCAGTCACTGAGAATAATTGCTGACCCCCTCGGTCCCAGCACCGGCCGCTTCTCTCCCAGACCGTTCCCGGGGACCTGGTCCATCCTGGCGGTAGGACTTAGGTTTTGTCTGGCTTTTGTTTTGGCCTCTTCCGTTTTCCTAAAGCACAAGTCCACGTAGAGTCCTGTCACCTCTCCATACCAGTTCCAGAGATGATGTGGGTCTCTCCCACTGCCTCAGGAAGACCTTCACTGTACCTGAGCTTCTGACTTCTGCTGTTGCAGCTGCCTTAGCAACACCAGGGCAGGGGGGCGGCAGGGGGGGCCAGTTCCATCTCTCCTTTCCCTGGTTGGACTCGCTCAACCACGTTCTTCGGTTGGCAGCTCTGCCTCCAGATTGATTTTTGAGAACCATCACTCTCACATTCCTAATTTTTGGTTTGGTTTGATTTTCTGAAACATCCGATGCTGCCCTGAAAATCATGTGTTTTTGAGTTTGTGTTCTGAAAGCCTCCATGCTGCCGGATTTTGGGGGATCCTCCAGCACAGGGGCATATAAGATTTGCAACTAGCAATGCAATTTTTTCTAAATATGAGGATATTTACCTTTATTAAGAAATGATACTAAACAACGGTGTCCTTGATCATTTTATGTTCTCGTATTACTTTTGGCTCTATTTTGACTCTGTGTGGTGGTAAACAAAGATCATTACAAACAAAAACTGTAATTTTGTTATCTTTGATTCAATGGAATTTCTTTACTTAAATAAAAGGCTAAAAATGTGGCGTGGCTGTGTGTGCTTTGTGCAGGGGGAGTTTCTGTCTAAAAGGATTCTTCCTGTGCCTTCACCGAACGTGCGCTTGAAGGAAGCGGGCAAAACCACCAAGTTCTTATCACAAGTGATTTTATCCCAGCCTTACAAGCAATTACCAAAGAAATGACCAGCCCGCAGGTGTCTTCACATACTTAACCTTTCCTGGCCAGAAAGACAGGGCGTGAGATACCACCAGTAGAATCACCTGCTCTCCAAAGTGAACCTTGTAGATGAAATGCAAGGGGAGATGGAAATGGTAGTTGCCATGCATGAAAGAACGTTCTTTGAAAAGACTGAGTGAACATCACCTAAATTAAGATTATATTGGGTTGTGGGCGCCTGGGTGGCTTAGTTGGTGAAGCGTCTGCCTTCAGCTCAGGTCATGATCTCGGGGTCCTAGGATCAAGCCCCGTGTTGGGCTCCCTGCTCAGTGGGGAGCCTGCTTCTCTCCTCCCTCTGTCCCTCCCCCCCACTCGTGCTCGCTCTCGTGCGCGCATGTTCTCTCTCTCTCTCAAATACATAATAAAAATATATTGGGTTGGAAAAAAATATATACTGGGTTGATGGTGGTGGTTTTTTCTCCGTATCTGTCTGAATCCAAGCTAAGCGTCTTCCAGGGCCAGGGACTGGCCCCACCAGGAGAGTTATACTCGTCCATGCTCTGCCACCCAAGAGCTTTGCACTCAGTTTTCTTCCCTCCTCCGCTATGCAAAACCTCTGACAAGTTGGTGGGGGAGGGGGGTAGGGAGTGTTGGTTTTGGAGGATGTGCATTAACATGACCTAAGAATGCCCCCTATCCAGTTTCACAGTGCATCCCATTCTAGTAAGCAAGCTTCCCCTACTTCCTTTCCCCCGCAAAACAAACAGATTCTTTTGATCCAAGAAAACCAACTTGTAAAGAATACTACCTATGAAAAGTACCATATGGAAGAGATCTCAGGTCCAGGGTCTTGGGTTGGTTGATGCCAGCAGCTTGCCAAGGTGGTCAGCACATTAGCTGAGCCTCTCCCAAGGCAACCCTATAGATCTGTGATCAATGACATTTACCTACAGTCACTCGCCATCCCAACGGTGCTATATTTTACTATACCTTTCATCAAGAGGCCCCTCTGCTCTAGCCCTATGGCGGAGGACTTTCCCATGGTAAGGACCAAACACCTAACTGGATGGCTGTGCACATGTATAACAGCCTTTCTCCTCATTTCTCTCTCGGGTGTCCCCCTTTGAGGGGGTTACCTGTATCTGCGTGGTTGG